AAAAAAAAAAAAAACCACGACTGCCACACAACTCACAACTGATGAAACTCACTGACGAAATGTGTGTGTGTGTGTTTTGCAGACAAGCGGCTGAAAAGGCAACACTACAGAAACAACTACTCAAACTTGACACCAGGTATCTGGTACACACACACACACACACACACACACACGCGCACACACACATAAAGCATAGTGAGCCAACGTGTCTCATCCTCAGCAGTCATCCGTCCGGCATGGAGGCATGGCCCGAGATGATGCTGAGTGTGGAGGGGACGTCCCCGGATGGCGATTGGCTGGTGCGTCAGGAGGCGGGGCTGCGGAAAGACAGCTGCGATGTCTCCAAGGCCGGGGCGGCGGCGGCGGGGGGTTCCGGCCGGGAGGGCGCCCGTCGAAGCGCCGCTCTGGCGTCGACGGAGAAGCGGGAGCAGAAGCTGGCTCGTTTGAAGCAGATGATGCAACGCTCGCTGAGCGAATCGGATTCCGACGCCCCTCCCAAACCCGATAGGCCCACGCACCTGCCCATCAACGATGAGGAGCCCGCCTCCAAGCACCTCCACCTGGTCATGAGGAAGCACCTCCCCACGGCTGACAGGAAGCCGATATCCAAGCCGGTCAACGGCGTGGCCTTCAGCCCCGGCGAGGCGGGCGACGGCGCGGGCGACGCGGATGCCCCCACCGATGCCGCCGGCCCCCCCAAGGTCGCGGCCACCAGCCCCAAGAGCGCCCTCAAGTCTCCGTCGTCGCGCAGGAAAACGGCGCACAGCCTCAAGCTCAGGGTCACTTTCAATGAGCAGCTGCACCAGGAGGCGGAGCCTAGCAGGGTCCCGGCCGCCACCAAGGAGGCCGCGCCTACGGGAAGCTCAGAGGCCAAGAGGCCTTTCGGGGCGCTCAGGTCCATCATGGAGACGCTCAGTGGAAACGCAAACAACAACAACAACAACGCGCACAACACGTCACACAACCAGCACAAGAACAAGAACAAAAGCACCAATGTGTGAACACTTTCTGTCGCCGGAGTGTTAATGCTTTTTTTTTTTTAAATAATCACACACTTGTTTCATGATGTCACCTTTTTTTTAAAACGCAACTTTATTTAAAGCTGGCTGGCAACATCTATTACTGTGACAATACTATTCAGGATGCCACTTTTTTTTTTGACCGGGCTGTCGTTATAGCAACAGTCGCCCCACAGAAATCATGGTTTCAAACTTTTTTTTTGAACCAGGCTGTCCTTAAACATTCCAACAATACTCTTCATTATGCTGTCTTTTTTTTTTTCAGCACAACTTTTGTTGCTGTCCTGTCACCTGTTTCCATGGCAACAATATTTTTTAACTCATTTAAAAAAAAATACACACCGTTATTTAAATCAGACGTCACGTGATCCGTCTCTATCAACACTTTATTCACTTGCGACATTTGATTGAACTCAATTTGAAACTAAGCTGTCAATTGACCTGTTGCCACGACAACACATTATTCCTCTGTGTCTGCATTTTTATAAACATTTGAAGCTGGCTGTCACATGACCTGCCATCTTGGCAAAACTATTCACGTCGTCTGTCGTCATCGCAAGAATCGTCACATTTGTGGCAAAAAAAAAAAAAGTGGTCATTTCCCTTGAGAAACATCAGCATTTTAGAAACAAGCAATCATGTGATCTGTCTCTATGGCAACATTGTTTTCATGTCACTTTGACGTCACTTATTTTTAATTTCATTTCAACCAGGTTGTTCTGACCATAGTGCCATTTTGTTTGACATCCTCTTTCAAACAACTATTTCAAGAAAAACACGTCATATTATGTCACTATAGCAAAATTTATTTCCCTTGATGTCACCCGTTTTGGTATTTAAAAACTAAAGTAGGTTGCTGCTTGATCTGTTGCCATGGTGACAACTTTATTCCTGATGTCCTCATTACATGTACAGTATTTTTCGACACAACTTGAAACGAGGCTGTCACAATACCTGTCTACATCGTGCGCCTCCTTATGGCCGCCGCACTCACTACATGATTTCTCCAAAGCAGCCAGTCCGCTAGGGGGCAGCAGTGAACCCAAATGAGTGCCGACGATGATAATGGCTCAGTGGTTGTATGACAAAATGAATAGATGTCACGCAAGTGTTTTGAAGTCATCAAAATGAAGCAAATGAGGTGAAATGTTGCAGCAAATGCGAGTGCTTTTTTTTTATACCAAAAACACATTAAAGGTTTATTTTGATTTCTCATGACTTATTCTCTTTTATTGCAAATTGTTTTACATTGTCAGGCTGGCAGCTCGCCATGTTATCTTGTTGGTATCATGCCGGTAAGTTATTTTTGGGTGACCCATTCCCATTATTTAAGTTCACATTTAATTCGTGACTGTTTTTTTTTCTTTTCTTGTCATAGCATATAGCATATCCCAGTCTGGAGCATTTTAGTCTGCGCTACTGCAAGTGTTTAACTTATATTAGTATCTATAAGTAGCAGTTAGCCATTGATTTGGAAGGTTCAGCTTATTAGACTTTAGCTTGTGTGACAAAGTCATGTTGCAGTAAGCATTAAGTGACTGTTTATCTTTTCATGTAGCATTTAGCCCATGTGACTGGCATTAGTGTGTGTGCCGACCAGTATTGAGCTTCTAAGAGCAATTCTCCTCTGTGACGAGTGTACTGTTGAGCATTTTGCTTATGTTATTCCCAGTACCTAGCTTATCTTTACGTGTAGCATTCCACCAGTTTATTTTGCGGTTTAGCTCATTAACATGTGTTCCGTAAACTCTGCTAACAAGCGACTGCATTTTCCTATTGGGTTTAGCTTGTCAGCATTTAGCTTGCATGAGTCACTCTTAACATTTACTATCATGTTAACATATAGCATTAAAGATGTGTAGTTCCGTTTAGGTTAGCATTCAACCTTTGCGACTGCTAGTTTATAGTGCCTGTTAGCATGTAGCCTTTAACTGAATACATGGTCTCTTAAGTGCTGTCCAATCGATGAGGTTGAATTTATCACTTTGACTTGTGCGCAACAGCCCCCCCCAACCCCCCCTTGAGCCCCCACAGGTGTCGATGTCGAAAACTAGCATGTTATTTTTGTCCCCTCTCGCTAAAGCTCGTTTGGCTAATTGTCACGTTTCATATTCGCATGTGATGGAGGGCGCCATTAGGGCAGCACCCATTAGACCCCCTCGTGGGAGTGGGGGGGGGGTCAGTCAGGGGGTGGCATCAAAGGCCAATTTGCCAGGCAGACATCATCAATTGAGCCTGCTAAGTGGACCTTTTTGACGCCTTTTCAACGAGCGTGGAGCTCAATCCGGTTGGAGCATCAATCTCGGGCATTTAGCGGCGAACCAAACGTCTCGGTGGACTTTTCAAAGATTTGTGACGGTGGAAACATTTTTCACTTTGAGCACAAAAAGATTTGAGTTCAGTTTTCATTTTATGATCCAGCAGCAGGGCCTAGCTTGATAATCGTTGGCCAGCCGCTAAAGGATGATGACGACGACTCATCACCACATGACCGCAAGGTCAATAAACTACGCGCACAGCATGCTAATGTGGCTAGCTGCTAAGCTGGAAACATGTTAAAAACATGCTTATGTGACAAGTTGTTTGCTTGGGAACAAAACATGATAATGCAGGATGTACACAGCATGATAAGTTTAACGAAACCAGGGTTCACTGGCTTGGTGTGTGCTAAAAAAAAATGAATGTAAAACATCAAAAGTTTATGAGAACACATTAAAACATTGAAGGGTATCATTTTTGGAAGAAAAATAACTCATGTATTGGCTACAATTATTGATTTACATGGTTAAAAAAACCATATCACAATATTTGTATCTTTTTTTAAAATGTTAAACGATACTCTTGACTATTTTTATTTCAAAATGTCAATGAAAAACAAAAAAAGACATGCTCATGCTGTACCTTGTTTCCACCCACCCCCCCCGACCCACATGTGGCCTTTTGTGCAAAAAGTTTGGACATCCCTGCGCCAAGTGCTGCTAGCCACACATGCTAAACGCTAATAGGGGGCTTAACTCGGGTGCAAAATGGCAGCTTGTTTTCGGGACAACACTTTATGATTTGAGGTCAGAGGCTATTATGCTGCTGATTGGTTGCACGTTCAGCGAGGGGCGGGACTTTGTTTGACGGTCGGGTGGGGAAGGGGGGCAGATGGTGGGGAGGTACATATAGATTTTCCCGTCTGTTGTTTTTTTGTATTTATGTGCTGCTGTTAGCCAGTCAATCACATTTAATTGACAGCTCTGTGCTGGGGGGCCGAGCTGGGATGACAGGACTTTAATGCCGGGTGGGAGGAGGGGGTGGGGGATACGACGAACTGAGCTGGACGGGGTGGTGGTAGCGCCCCCTCTTCCTCCGCCGTCAACAGCATTAATTGATGTAACCGCGGCCATGATGGATGCTCATCAAAACAACCTTTCAGAAAAAGTCGTTAACGACGCATAAAGGCCACCGGATACCAGCAGGGGGCAGCGTACAAGCGTAATTTTGTTGCTGGGTAAAGCCTTTAGGGATGCGGTCTGTGGGGTGTCGCGTCACGCGGTCGATTGCGGTTGACGGCGAGCATGAGAACACCTTGTTAGCGTGTTTTTCCGCCACTCCCGCAGGACGCTGCTAAGCTACGTGAGATACACTCATTCTCGCCACATCGACCACCGCAACTCGGAGACGCTGTTAAGATTGTGGAAGAATGTCAGTAGAAGGACTACCTTTTTTTTCTTCCCATGTTTCTGTACGATGGCACCGTTTACTAATGCAAATCAAACATGACAGCATTTGTCAACACGCTAACATCGGCTACACACTGAGAGTGGCCTCTCTAGCGCAATGAAACATGTTAATATGAGTTTAAGACTGGGAGAGTCCCTGGCTAAATGCTAAGATAAAACTGAGCCATAGCAGGTAAATGTGCACAGAAGCTAAAGACTGAGTTTCTCCCGCTAAATGCTAACATAAGCTTCACAGTGGGGAGCCACAAGCTAAAGGCTAACAAGCTGAACACTTGTAACGACATAAGGTGGACGCCAGATGCTAACATGAGCCAAACATTTGGGAGCCACAGAAGATAAAAAAAAAAAAAAAAATCAAATAGCTCCATGAATGTTGCCGCCTTGAAAGAGCCACCTGTGCTAGCTCAATGATAATAACCTCAGCGTTTGGGCATCACAAAAGCTAAACTGTGAGAAACTGATAATAGCATATGCTAATGCTAGCTTAGCTATGAAACCAAAACAAAGACACTGTGGGCTTAAAATGATTTTAATGGAAAAACAATCAAAATTGATCTTCCGAATGTTTCTTCCCCTTAATGTTTAACAAACAAAAAAAAAAACATGTCCGCCAAGTAATATTTGAATGCTAAGCTAACAAGCATTAGCGCGCTCACCTAGTGGGACAGAAGGGGCACGAGTTGTTCCCGCTGGACTGGATCCATATGCAGATGCAGTCCCTGTGAATGGTGTGGGTGCAAGTGAGCGGATGCCGGCTTCCGGGGTCCACGGCCTTCTGGCAAATCAGGCACAATTTACGGGGCTCTGCAGCTTCGGCGGGCGGCGGCCTCTGCGCGTCGCCCCGCGCCAGTGCCAGGCCCACCTGATCGCCCACCTGCTCCACCGAAATGCCCGCCAGGGTCCCGCGGGCGCTCTTCACCTGCTGCAGCAGATGCGTCAGCTGCGTCCTGGTGCATTGTGGGAAGCGCGCCCCCAGCTTGTCCAGGACCTTGTCCAGGGGGCCGGAAGAGGCGGCGGCCGGCGTCGATGGAACGACCTGGTTTGCGGGTGGTGTCGGGGAGTGGCTGAGAGTCGGGATTGATCCGGCGTGGGGCGGCGGGTGGCACTGCGGGTAGAGCGGGGGCGGAGCATAGTAACGCAGGTGGGGCTGAGGGGGCATGTAGTACTGAGGCGCTCGCTGGGATGGCGGCCCAAGATTTTGGGACATCATCATCTGTCTGAAATTCAGCTCGGCCTGGGGTGGGGAAAGAGAAAATGTCGAAAGCGTTAACGTAAAGTATTAGCTAGATGGGCCGCGGTCGGTGAGATGCGCGTGGCGGTACCGTGGGTATGCGCGGCAGTGCCGGCACATTGATGCGCGGCAGGGACTCCAACTCGCGTCCTTCCTGCAACCGTGCCAGAACCTCCTGGAATCGCTTCTCCAACTCTGCCTGGTTGTTTCGCACCGCCGCCTCCTTGGTTGCCCAGCTTGCCTTCTCCTGGTGATGGAACGGTCGCAGTGACGACACATACTCGGACACCTGGAAAACGTCAGCAGGTAGCAGCTGACTAGCATGTGGCATTTCTCCGCTGACTCCCAGCGTGAAGCATATGATGGGATGGGGCACTTGGCCATTGGCTCCCGGTATGAACCCTTTCATGCACCCCGTAACCCGATAACACGGTCAGCTGTCCACTGTCGCAACCACTGTCCCTGAAAGGGTTAAGCGTATGTTGGCACGTAGGATTTGATCGGTGACTCCCAGTGTTTCCTAAATGTTAGCATGTAGCATTTGGCCGACGACTGCCAGTGTCTCGCACATGTCAGCTTTTCGCTCAAGATGGTCTCCCGGAAGGCACTACCTCTGTGAGCCAGGCCTGTATGCGCTCCATGGCGACGTCTCGCTGCGCCTCCACGGCGTTGACCTGGTCTCGCAAGGCGCGGCTCTCGGCGTCTTTGGCTTCCCGCCTTATTTTCTCCATCTCCTCTTTCAGATCGTCCAGCTCCTCTCGCCAGCATCGCTGCTCCTCATCCTGCTCCCGCGTTAGCGCAGATAGCTTGGCGGCGCTCTCCTGCAGATCCCTGGACAGCCTGCGGGCAGCGAAGGCTCGTCACTGTGGCAAACAGCTAGCCGTTTTAGTGACTAGCAGCTACTTATCTCGCGTCTCGTGAACATTTGGCCAGTGATTCCCAGTATTGAGCTTATGTTATCATTTAGCAGACTTTTGTTGACGTTCAAAAGCTAGTAGCATAGCACATACTTGTCCCTCTCGTCCTCTGCACGGCTTTTCTCCGCACAGGCTTCCTGCTTCTTGGACAGGTAGTTCTTGCGCGTGCTTTTGGAGTTGTTGAGCTGCAGCTTCACTCGCAGCGTGTCCAGCTTCTCCAGCAGAACCTGCACCAACAAAGAGTTCAGCTTGTGTTAGCATTCAGCCACTGACGAGTGTTGAGCTGAATGTAGTCTGGTGTATTTAGCCAGTGACTCCTAGTGTTTACCTTGAGTTAGCGTGTAGCATTTTAGCTTCCTTAACAGAAAGGGTTCTGTCAGTCGTCATCTGTACCTGTGGTACAGATGACGACTGACAGAACCCTTTCTACGATGGAACTTTCCTGTACGACTGAGAGCCTCCACAAGCAGCTTCCTTAACGTGAGCATGTAACACTTAGCCGCTGACCTGATGCTGCCGCGTGGTCTTGGCCTTCTTTTTTTGCAGCTGCGCTGTTGCCTTTTGTCGCTCGGCATCCTCACGCTGCCACTCCTTGACCATGTTGCTGTAATCCTCTGCTAGCCCGTCACCACACTCCAACATGAGTGCCAGCTGCTCCTCCCAGTCCGCTGCCACGTTGACGCCGGCGTCAGTCATGGTGATGCCATCCGATGCCACGGCATCTGTCTGTACCGATTTTTCAAGCTCGACGATGCCTGTTTTGAGAGAGCGTCTTACCATTGCGCCTGTCGCGCCCAGTGTTTAAGAACCCGGGATGTCTCCCCCCCTTGAAGCAATCATAGTCTGTTGGGCATCAGATGCCCAAATGCTGAGCAAAGTGATTGATTAAAAAAATGTTATCACATAACATGACTAATTTCACATTTTAATGTGATAAGTTGCGAAAAAAATCATGCTAAAATCAGCATGTTAAAATGAGTGAAAATGCTTACGTTTAACAGTTAAAACATAGGTTTGATTTTCATGTTCAAGTGGAGTCGTCTTATCTGAATACAAAATAAATACAGTTTCTATCCCCCCAAAAATAAGACACCTAGTTCGTTTTGTTTTGCCGAATGCGGAAGCCAAGCTTGCCACGTTTTAACGTGATAACCTACACGTTACAACGTCCGTTTTTTTAAGGACATTTACATGAATAGTGTGCACACGTTACCTTGCGCGGTTTCGTTTTCAAACGACGCAGACTCTTCGATTGTTTCCATGTTAGCATCCATGCTAACAACGCGAAACCAAAACTCTTGTTTTCCTGGACGGGATTGTTTTACTCACGTGAGTACTTAACGACAAGTTGGGCTGGTTTGTTCTTTAAAATAACGTTGTATCGTCCACTTTGGCGGTAAGTTTCATCGGTACTGAAAAGGCAAGGGCGAAACCAAAACTCTTTGTTTTCCTGGACGGGATTGTTTTACTCACGTCAGTACTTAACGATAAGTTGGGCTGGTTTGTTCTTTAAAATAACGTTGTATCGTCCACTTTGGCGGTAAGTTTCATCGGTACTGAAAAGGCAAGCCTGCGGATCGCCGTCGATCTCCCCGCTGGACAAAGTCCTTTCCTGTCACATGACCACGCTGGGTACACCACGTGACTCCTCCGCCCCGCCCCCTCGTCAGTCACCCAGTCGCGGAGGTTAGCTCCCTGCTCGCTCCGTTAGCCGTCATCTTCAGGGCTACGTTGTTAGCTCCGAGCAAAGCCCACGGGAACCGCATACGAAGGCAATGGCGGCCACGGCCAGGGACCCCATGGCGAACCACAGCGACTTCCAGGAGGTGGAAAACGCCGAGGACCTGTTCCCGGAACTGACGGGCGGCCCTCGCGAGGTGAGTTGGGATTGGAGAGCGTTGGGCTGGACAAGCTCGAGACGGACGCAGAAAGAGCCATTAGAAGTCATTCAAATCAAGCAATGCTAGTCTACCCCCCTGTTTGAGGCTGTGTTTTTAAAATGGCTAAATACATTGTAGGAATAGCTCAATAGAAATTCAAATATTAAAATTCGTCTACGGAAGCCGCCGAGGTTGTCCCGTTTTTTTTTTTACGGGTATAAGCAGGATGCGCAGGTGCATTCGCGTGACGGTGCGTCAGGTGACAGTCACGGAGGTGAGGATGGCGTGTTCACTTGCACAAGGGGAAAATGGCTACTTTACTCCGAAGCCTGTTTTTGTTTTTTTTGGGTCAAGATCGAACTGTGAGAATTTTGAACCAACCAAAAAATGGCTACTTTACTCCTAAGCCTGTTTTTGGTTTTTTTTCGGTCAAGATCGAACTGTGAGAATTTTGAACCAACCACACAACGCATACTAGTGGCGATTTGATGCGTTTTACATGAAGGTTTAACAATATGCGTCCTAACAGGTCATCAGGAGTCCCACCGGATAAGATCCAATTTCACCTCATTGGTGCAAATAATATCACTTTGTTGATCTCTCTGCGCCAGCGGCAGAACAATCAGATGCTTTTCCACTCGATGACAGAAGGCAGACAATGAACCTTTTCTCCACTTTTTGTGACCTTTTTCTTTTGTTTGGTCAATGAAGGTAGCGAAACACCAGCTTGGGATTGACAGTTTGCTCCTTTGTCTCACTTTTTCGGCCGCTCAGCACTTGGAATTCTTTCCTGCTGGTGTGAGTCTTCCTGTTTTGGGTGTTTCTGCTGAGTCAGGACGAGAGAAGCTCCCGGTTGTCATTTCCTCTTCTCCGCCAGTCAGCGCTGCATTCAAACGAAATGCTGTAACATCGAGCCAATTTCGATGAGCAAGAAGCTCGCAGACTTCTGTTATTGTATCGCTCATTTGGGTGTTTAAATGCACAGTGTTCAATTCTCTTCATTGATGTGCTTGGCAATGTTGTTTTGTTAGCATTAAGCTAACATGGACGACAACATGAAATGGAAGTTTTGTTTTCTCAATATACGGCGTTTCATTCTCTTTTGTGGTATGTGTTTAAATGTTTGCCGATTTGGACTTAGCGCAAGGTCTTGGCGGTTCCTGTTAGTCTCTCGATGACCTTTCCCATTAGATGTTAGCATTCAGCTCTCCGATATTGTCGGGGTTGCCTTCCTTGTTGTTTCCACACCTTCCTCGCCTGTCAAAGTGACATCAAAAAGTCATGACGGTGCCTCACTTGTGTCAATATTGAAAGGCGCTAACCGACAGTTCCACGTGCCGCCAGACACGCCCCGGGTGCTTTGGAGGTCTCGTCTCGGTGTCACTTCCTGTCTGTTTGTCCCGCCCCAGGAAGCGGACTCGAGCGGCGAGAGGTCCAACGGGCCCAAGCTTGACTTTGACGATGACGCAGACGACCTGTTTGCAGGTAAGCGCTCGCTTTGTGATGTCAGACGGCGGTGCCCGGACTTTTTTATTTGTGTCAAATCAAGATTCCCTATTGAAATGAATTGAAAGCCGATTAATCTGTTCCGGCTCCCAAATAACACTGCCATTTTTGGTTGCATTTTTACTGAATAAAAACAGCCTTGTATTGCATAAAAACAAAACAAACAAGCATGTGTTTACTCTAGTATTCGGAAAGTAGCAAAAACACAACTAAAGACTAAACCCAAATCGAGGAAATCTAAACTAGCAAACCCACTGTAGAACACAAAACTGAAACTGAATTTGGAATAACAAAATGGCAAAATGAAATCAAAGATGAAACAAATGAAAAATCCCATATCGTTGGTACTGCCTTTGTGTGTTGAATGTGTGCCTTTTAGGGGCGTGGCCGAGTGAGTAACTGCCAGGAGCTCAACTTGCTTTTGATTTTGAATGAATGCGTTTGACTCTTCTTGCTGTTCAATTGATGGCTGAAAGTGCATCCGGTGTCTCGTAACGAGCCGGCCGCCATTTTGTCACGTGTCTGCGTGTGGTAGAGGCCACAGAGGAGGTGTCGCTGGACAGCCCGGAGAGAGACGTGCTGCTGTCGGACGGCCCGTCGCCCGCCATCACCCCCGTCACGCCGCCCACCTCCGTCCTCACGCCACGCTTGGCGCACGCCCACGACGACATGTTTACGCACTCCTCCTTTGATGAGGTGAACCTCCGCCCTCGGACAAACGGACGCATGTGCCGGCCACGCCTCGCCGTGTGCACGATGCGGTCCCACTGAAAAGCATTTTCTGCTTTTGTGGTCGTTTGTCGTGTCGTCTGCGTTTGTTCAGCTCGAAGAAGAAGAGTCCAGCGAGGCGTCGGCCGTTGCGGTCTCCGTGTCGGACCCCGAGAAAGTGGGTGAGTTCCTCCTCTCGCTTCACCGTGACTCCACTCCGGCGGCGTCCTTTCCCGTGACGCGGGCGGCTTTTGCCGTCCCCAGGCGAGGGCATGAACGCCTACATGGCCTACAAGGTGACCACCAAGGCGCCGCCGTCGTCGGCGTTGTTCCGGCTTCCCGAGTTCTCGGTCAGGCGACGCTTCAGCGACTTCCTGGGCCTTCACGGGAAGCTGGCGTCCAAGTACATGCACGCCGGCTACATCGTGCCCCCCGCGCCGGAGAAGAGCATCGTGGGTACGTTGCCGCCGCGGCACAGACGCGCCTTCTTCGCAACTAACACGCACGGTGCGCGTCACGGGTCTGTCGCCTGCACAGGGATGACCAAGGTGAAGGTCGGGAAGGAGGACCCGTCATCCAACGAGTTTGTGGAGAAGAGAAGGTTGGCCCTGGAGAGGTACGACGAGGCGTTGTCACGTCTTCCTTCTGACGCCGCGCGTTCCTGCCCAGATTGAGTTGCTCGTGTTGCCTCTTTGAATCCACGCGCTCTTCACCGACGAGTTGGCGTCGCCTCTTTGATGTCACGTTTTCTCACGCGTTTGTGTTGCTTTGTTGAGGTTCACGTGTCGGTGAGGTCGTCTCTGAACGCGCCGAGCAAGCGTTGTCTCTTTCGTGCCCCGTCCATTCAACGATGAGCCCGCCCGTCTTGCCCCTTTGGCGCGACGTTGCCTACTGTGAGCATGTTGAGTTTTACGTCCCATGTCAACGAGATGAGCCGGTGGCGCCACTTTGAAGTCACTCGGGCTTAGCGCGAGTGAGGATAGTTTCACGTCAGCGGCTCCGAACAAGCGTGGCGTCTTTGACGTCATGTGGCCTTCGCTTGAGTTTGTCATGTGAGCGAGCGCACGTTCCGAACAAGGCGTTGCCTCTTTGACGTCACGTGTTGTTAACAGTTGACGAGTACCGACGACATCCCCTGATCTTAAGCCAAAGGAGGCAAGGGGAATCACCCCCCCCCTCCACCTCCCGAAAAAAAGAGCAACCTTGGGAAGGGGCCGCAGGTGGGGGAATGCCCCTTTCCAGCATGACCAGGCTGCAATAGATGCCCAGCGGGCAACGTGTGACAGTGTGAGTTGAAGTTGTGAAGAAAGTTCATCCGGTGAGAACGCCTTGGCTGAAGTGGGACATTGCGGGAATCTCCCTGGTGTCAGCGTTACCTCTTGGATGTCAAATGGGAAGGATTATTTGGTCTCGGCCTGACGCCGATGGCCCCGCTTCTTCACAACGTGAGGCCCCGCGCTCCCCTCTTTGGCGTCACCTGTTCTGAGCGATCTCTTTGATGTTGCGGCGCAGGTACCTGATGCGCACGGTGCAGCACCCCGTCCTGCTCAAGGATCCCGACCTCGTGCAGTTTCTGGAGAGTTCCGAGGTAAACAAACAAACAAAAATAACATCCCGCATATTGATGATGTGCCACCCCGCCCCGCGGTGCCTTCTGGGACTTAGCTGCGTGCGGGGGGCGCGGGGGAGGCGGCCTCGGAAATAAATGGCGGTCTGTCAGCGACTTAACAGATGAATTGTGGGACGCTTGAGCGAGTGCGGCGTTCCGTCCGGCCCACTTAATGAAACACAAGCAGGAGGCGGCTATAAATGAAAAGCACCCCGTGCCACCCCTCCCTTCCAACCCCCCTTTCATTTGGCCTCCATCAACGAGGACCCCCGAGACCCCGCCTCTGCTTAAATGGCACCGAGGGGGGTTGGGGTGGGACCACCACGTGCGAAAGTAAACTTTTCCGAAATGAAGAAAAATGAGCTCTCGCGCCGACGCGTGGATTTAATCTGGGATGCCGACGACGTTCCAATCGCTTTGAGGGGGTGCGCGGAATGATGCGAATTAAAGAGGGGGCCGGGAAGGGAAGGAGGGGGGGGGTTGTTTGAGATGGCGACAAACCGATTGTGTCGAAAGCGAGGCAGCGGCGGCTAATTAAATGGGGAGAAACAAACGTCACAAGTCATTTTGTGTCATCCAAGACCACCACCGCGCCAGCTTCTTCCATCAGGGGGCGCTGTCATGCTACCACCCTAGCTTAGCGTCAGCGGTATGCGTCTTTTTTTAAACACTTCCCATGACTTCCTGCCAAATTTCTGTTATCTCTTTATTCGTTCAATATACAAAGACGTGTCACTCGCGCCGCACACAAAGACACCGTTTTCCCACAGAGCCCCAACAAATGAGCTGGAATTTATCTGCTTGTGTCTTTCACGCAGAACTCAGACAAAGTGAGATATTGGTGGGACTTCCACACAGAGACACAGTTTTCCCGCCGCCGGATGACATATGTAAAACATATCCCGAGCATCAGAAGAGCTGGAATTGATACACCTGTGCCTTTCACACAGAGCACAGTCAAAGTGACGGGATGTGTTTTCACACCGAAAACCAGCATCCCGCAGCCAGATCATTTATGTTTGGAGTGACGTAAGTTACTGTCCTTCCTGAAAAGAGCCGGCATTTATCCCCTTTTGCCTTTCACGCAGAAGCCAGCGGTGTTGGTTTTCAAACATGCAAAAAAATAAAATCAGAGTGCAGTATTCGACTGACAGATAACAGGATGACACCAGCGTTCGCTGCTATGTATCGTTGCTGTCCATTTTACAAATGTTTGTTCATAGGTAGTCCGCATTTCGGACATCATATTAATGTAAAAAAAAACAATCAGTGATATTACCTGCCTGTGCCTTTTGCGCAGAGCCCAGCCGAGGGGGGTTATTGTGACTGTGACTGTGAGCGCTCTCAAGTAGAGGAAAGGCGTCTCGTAGCCACACCGTTACCAAACGCCAGCGCTCGGTGTCAAGGACATCATCGGATAAAAATCTATTTTGCAATCAACTTAACGCAAACCTTTTCATTTGGTTAAGTCCCCCCCCCCCCCCCCCCCAAAAAAACAAAAAAAAAACAAAAGCATCTGATCGATCAGTGGAATAATCTCGAAAAGAAATCCAGTCTGAAAATATTTGACAACCCGGCTGGTGTTCACCGTCACTCCCCGGTAGCGATTCAATTTCACGCGGCCACCCGCAACCCCTTTCATGCCGCCGTCGTCGTCGGGCACGCGACGGTAACCGGTGGGCGTTCAACTTCATCATTCCGATCATTCCATTTGACGGCACCGCTACATTTCACACCGAACAGCAGCGACTTGGGAGGGTGCGGGGGGGAAGAAAAAAGGGAAACATCTTGAGCCCGTTGCGCGCCTGTGCGTTCCAGTTGCCGCGGGCCATCAACACGCAAGCTCTGAGCGGCGCCGGCCTGCTCAGGATGGTCAACAAGGCCGCCGACGCCGTCAACAAGATGACCATCAAGATGAACGAGTCGGACGCCGTGAGTTGCCCGGGGAGGGGGGCGGGGGGAATGCTAACCTTGTTAGCGTGATGGACGGCTTCATGTGGGCCTGTGTGTGTGTGTGTGTGTGTGTGTGTGTGTGTGTGTGTGTGTGTGTGTGTGTGTCAGTGGTTCGAGGAGAAGCAGCAACACTTTGAGAATCTCGACGCACAACTGCGGAAAGTTCACGCCAGCGTGGAGTCGCTCGTGTGTCACCGGAAAGGTAGCTCGGCGTGCGTGCGCGCTTACGCTCGCGAACGTGCCCCCCTTTCTCGTCACGTCAATGCCGCCGTGCGCGCACGCCCCCCCGCAGAGTTGTCCCAGAACACGGCGCAGTTCGCAAAGTCGGCGGCCATGCTGGGCAACAGCGAGGACCACACGGCGCTGTCGCGAGCTTTGTCTCAGCTGGCCGAGGTGGAGGAGAAGATGGAGCAGCAGTACCAGCAGCAGGCCAACGCCGACTTCTTCCTCCTGGCCGAGCTCCTCGGGGACTACGTGCGCCTCCTCGCCGCCGTCAAGGTGCGTCTTTGCCTCTTCCGGGAGGGGTTCGGCAAGGAACGCCAAACGGCGTGTCTGACGACGTGACGCTTGCGTGCGCAGGGCGTGTTCGAGCAGCGCGTGAAGGCCTGGCAGAAGTGGCAGGACACTCAGCTGCTCCTGCAGAGGAAACGAGAGGCCGAAGTCAAGCTGCACTTTTCAAACAAACCCGACAAGTTGCAGCAGGCCAAAGATGACATCAAAGAGGTAAAAAGTAGCGCCGAACACGTGACGTCACACACTTGGCTATGATCCACGCGCCCGTGGCGGCGGAGGGCTAACGCTAACTCTTCAACGCGCGGCGTTTTAGCCAGGCGATGTAAAAAGTGCCGCGTCAAAGAGCATCACTCGCCCATACATGGCAATTTTCCGCGGATTCGCGGAAATCCGCCGTTTTATTTCTTAAATTGATCATTTTTGTGAATCGTCTAAATCCGTTGAGAAAATTTTAGGGGCCGTCAGGTACCTTATCGTCGAGTTTTCACGAGCTCTCCCGAACAGTCTCTCCGTTTTCCGTTTGTAAACAGCCCTGCGATTGGACGTGTATGAAAGCTTCAACTAATCAGATCACTGAAGGCATTATTTGTTGCGGAAGTCTTAGCTCGATTATAAACGGCCCAGCGATTGGTTAACTACAAGCGATTGGACCAATCAAATTGCATGTAACATATTGCTTTACCTGATTCATGGCGGCCTGTTCGTCTCGCAAATTCATTGTTCTGGGATCGTTTTGAGCGGAATTATGAAACGCTAACTCTTCAACGCGCGGCGTTTTAGCCAGGCGATGTAAAAAGTGCCGCGTCAAAGAGCATCACTCGCCCATCGGATCGCGACATCGAAGAGAGAGCGCTCGCGGCGCCAAAGAGGCGACGGTAGCTTGTCACCGCATCGGAAAGGCGACCGGTCGCGTTCATTGGCATCAAAGACACGGGCCGAGTAACATCGCAGTGGTCGCGCGATCGTCACATCGACATGTGGCATCGAGGAGCGAACGCTCGTCACAATCGGAGAGTTGATCCCGGCAAAAATCAAAGAGGTCAAACCGGATCATCGCCTTGCTGGAAGTTTTTCTTTTTTTTTCGCTCCACGAGGCAAAAGTAGCTGATCATATCAAAGAGGCACCCCGATTTAATGCCGCGAAATTCATTTGGCGTCCAAGACTTCCTCGTCTGCGGGTTGACGAAAGCTTTACCCGGCAGACATGACGGGAGCGCGAGCCCCGCCCCTCCCGGCGCGTCCAGCGGGGCGAAACAAACCTACCTTTGCTACTCACTCAAGTGAAAAGTTTTTGTTTTTGCGCCTGAGGAATTTTAGCCAGCCGAGAAGAAGAAAAAGAAAGACTTTTATTAGCCCGTCAGCCCACAAATTCAGCCTGCGAGCCGTCTGTCAGAAAAGCGCACGCACGCACGCGCGCCGTCGGGGGTCCGCTGTTAGTGGAGGGGGGGCAAAGGGGGCTCGGAAGTCAACGTTTGCCAGTAGAGAGAGTTACAACAAGCCTTTATGTACTACGCATGGACACGCCTCGTGCGAGCACACGCACGCGCCGATACGATTGTTTTCGCTTCGTTTAAAAAAATAAAATAAAAGTTTAGATGGTTGACTGTGACCACCTTGTGATTTGTCATCAGAACAAGAAGAGTTTTTCAACTCCAATTCATTTGGACTCAATCTCATTTTAGTTCCCAAAATCCGATTGCTACAACCGTTGTTTTTGTTGTTCATTTGAATCCCGGATGCTTTTTGTTTTCATCGATTTGGATCCGTTGTCATCTGAATAATCACAATCGTCATCGTTTTAATGGTACAAGACTGAAAGTTGACCAATCCTTTTGCTGAAAATTTGCCGTCCAACTTCATCGGTTGTCGTATTTGACGCTTCATCGTGCGCCACTCGTTTTCAACGGAAGACGGGTCTGGACTGCAGGCAGGCTGTTTTTTTTTTTTGTTTGTTTTTTTGTCTGTGTGTGCCCTGCGACGCGGCGGCAGCCTGTCGTGAATTTACCCCGTCTGGAGGCAAATAGAAGTGCTTTTACTTCTATCGTTTTGGTTTTTTTTGCCTTTGTCATTTTCACTGTTTTCAGAAAACAAGAAAAAAAAAAGTCAAAGGTCCAATAGGCCCGATTCAACTGAACCGACAATCTATACAGACATCAAGAAAAAAGTGCCAGCAAGCATAATCTCCCCCAGGTTGGGGGCCGTGCAAAAAAAAACCCAAAAGCACTGTCGCGGCAGCGGTTTTCATTGAGGCACTGATAATGATTTTAAATTTTTTTTTTTAATTTTATTTTAAAGTTGCTTGATTTTTTTTTTGTCCCCCCCCCTCCCACCACCCCCCCTCCCTGTCATGCCTCGCTGCGCCAGGAAATTGAAGAGGTAGGACTCTTGAGCTGCTCATATTTGGAGCATCCTTCTTCATCAGATGCCATTTTTTGTTACTCTTCTCGGTTTTATTTTGTTGGTCGCAGTTACTTTTTATCCAGCTGTCATTTCTCCTGCCTGGTCACGTCGGATCCCGTTTTCATCAAACTGTCATCATTTTGACGACGCGTCATCTTTTTTCCTTTTCTTTTGACTCACACGATCATCACGTTGTTTTGATCCTGTTTCGGTCTCATTCGTATCGTTTGAAAGTCACGTTTGAAGGACACATTTTTTTTTTGTCATCACACTTTCACGTCTCATCTCGATCATATGTTTCATTTGCGTTTTGATTTTTTTTTCCCCTTTTGTCCTTTTAGTTTTTTGCTCCTGTTCATCCGTTTTGTTTTCAATGGCGTTTGTTTGATGGTGATGTCAAATTTGCTTGTCATTGTCATCATTTTCTGCACTTGGCGGGCAACCAGAGCAAGGTGTGTCCCGCTTCCTGCCCAAATACGGCAGGCATAGGCTCCGCCTACTGGGCAGAGCAGGCAGGCCCCCGCTCGCGACCCTCCTAAGGATCAAGCGGATTGGCTGACTGTTTCTTTTTTTTTAATTCCATCTTTCTTATTTTGTACGTGGCATTTCCACATTTGATCCCAATGCCATATATTTCTTGACATCATATTTTTTAAAATCTCAGTTTCACTTTTTTTTTTTTTTTTTTAAATCTCCATTTTTCTTAAAATGAAGATTTGATCGTGTGCGTCATTTTCGTCCCTTGCTACTGTTTGCGCAAAAGAAAATGGATTTTCTGAGTTTGATTGTGAAAAAAAATAGATATTGTGCTCAAATTTGTGATATTGATATCACATTTCGTGAGTTGATTTCTGTATATTTTACTTTGCGAAGTCAATTTTGTGTTTCTTGGCATTGGAAGGGGATCAGAATAAGAAGAAGTCGTCTGTTCAACTCAGAACTCGTGTTTTGATCTGTACATCGAACAATACGTTGCGGTCCTGTGAAAAACACCAATTTCCATTTTTCTCTTTCTTTTTCAAATTTTACGGTCATGGGATGTCCAAAAGGCGGACCTGACAAAAATGGACATGTGTTTGCAATATTAACTAATATTTGAGCCTCAGGTAAAGTGAATGAAGATTTTTTTTTTTTTTTTTTTGTACATGCATGCGCTTTTTCACATCCTTTTCACAAGTACTGATGAATAAGTGGCACATGTGGAACTGTGCCCACCCCCGCCTCCTTGCTGGGTTCCTGACGTTCCAGGTTGTTCCTAGCTTTCTCGTTTTCCCCCCAAATGAGCCAAAAGAACACAATTGGGTGAAACGGCCGCTCGCTAGCACAAATGAGCATTTTGTTCCAAAGTGAAATACAACCGAACCGGACTGCAGCAGTGATTTTCTTTTTTTTTTCTTGTACCACCGGAGGGAGGCGGCGTAGCGCTGGCCGTCTTCATTGCGCACTTTGAGAACGGCCGACGGCCTCGAGGGCCAACGAGCTTTGCGGACGCTGACCGCGCTCGGCGTTGCTCTCTTGCAGTTGGAGGGCAAAGTCCAGCAGGGAGAGCGAGACTTTGAGCACATTTCCAGAGTCATCCGCCGAGAAGTCAGTCGCTTCGAAGTAAGTGGGCAAGAGTGGACGCACGCGGGCATTGGCGTCCGGTTAACCCGCCGCTTGTCGTCGTCTGAATCACCGCAGAAGGAACGCGTCAAGGACTTCAAGATCCTGGTCACCAACTACTTGGAAGCTCTGGCACTCACGCAGCAACAGGTAATGGCTTCGTATTCCGCCGCCTCTTCTCTCACCGCCATACCCGCGCGCACTTTTGGATGGACTGATTTGATGACACCCGTGAACATAAAAACACATTGGCGGACCCTTTTCGAGCTTTCCAAATAATATATATCCGAACCTGTTGCCGACTGAAAAATTCTTCGGATTGCACTTTTGTCTCCCAAATGTTGAAACACTTTTTTATGAGTGGAACAAAAATGCAATGACTTTTTTTTTTTTTTTTAACTCTCAAATCTCTCGAAATGCATTTAATACCCGCACCCACGTTTGATTGTTTTATTGCACTTTTGCATCGACGACAACAACAAATCTCTTTTAAAAAATATGTTCAAAGGGGATTGTCACAAAACAAATTTTTGACCTGTGACCTGTTGTCTGGAATGGATCTCCCCCCAGAATATTTCAAACCTGTTAGCACACATCATATGCGCGCGTGTTTTGTTCCACTTGTGTGGATTAAAAAACTGAAAAACGGGACGGAGATGCAACGACGCCGCCCGACCGCAACGGCGAACCGTTTGTCGGCTGCCGCGTATGTGCGCAGCTTGAGAAATCCAAAGAACTGTTCCAATCAATATTTTGGTCACGACTTTTGCGGGAACGGCCCGGAATGTCGCCCCCCAGCATAAATGAGGGATTATTGAACACGTTTGACGATAAATGCCGGCAACGGGTTAACGGCCGGCCCTTACGTACGTAAATACATTGTTTGTCTTTTTTTTTTTTTTTTTTTTAACCTTTTTATAGAGTCTAGAAATATCTTCTACGTCTGTAGAAGAATGCTATTTATATATATATGTGTGTGTGCGTGTGTGTGTGTGAACAGCTGATAAAGTACTGGGAAGCATTCTTACCAGAGGCCAAGGCCATCTCATAGAGCGCCCACAATGCACCAGGCCTCCTTGTTTCCGCGCTAACCGGAAGCTAACGTGCTCATCGGACACTGTCGGACGCTTACTGATCCTCCTCCTCGTCCATTTTTTTCCCTCTCGGTCACCTGACGCGGGGTCGCAACTTGCTTTCACCCCTTCGCGACACTTGACCGCGTCGCAAGCCCAAGACCATCTCCACGTTGGGTTTTTTGTTTGTTTGTTGTCCAACCCAAATCGAGGTCATCTCTTGAGTGGCAGCCGTGTCCAAATTCAAGAGTGTCAAAGGTTTCAAATCGTTTGTCTTCACTCGCTGTCTCGTGACTCAAATGGACCACACTCACCTTCAAACGCTTTCAACGTTCAGAATGGCCTCAGTTTGTTTTTCAAGTGTCATGAGCCAGCTGACTAAATGCTACCGCTAGCAACAACAACGCCGAATCGCAGACAGTTAAGCTCATCAAGAAAAGGCGAGTATTGGCGCCAAAATGCGAAACCAGAACAATGTTCAGAAAACGTGACGAAGCCTCGACATTTTTGTTTGTTTTTAACCACTTGCGTTAATCACCCAAATGCTAAGTCGGCTAGCATGAAAGAACATTTCAATTTCTTGTGATGAGTCCTTTCCTGATATGATTTCATGATTCCCCGCCCGCCCACCTTTAAAAGTTCATCTTAACGTGCGAGCTGGCTAAAGTAGCACGATCCACCTCGTGGCTGAAAAGATTCTAGCGCAAATCACATGTGAGGCCTCTTTGCGCCAGGTCAATGGCTGCGGGCTCAACCAATCATTCCAATCGCAAAGGTAAAGTTGACTCGTCTCTGATCTCTCTGATTCCGCTTCACATGCTAATCCTAGTTAGCATTTCACTTTTTGAGACCAGCCACTAGTTTGACGACTTTAATGCTACGCTAGCTCGCAACTAGATAAAGTGAGGCCTGCCCGGGCCGGCCCTGTGATTTTAAAACACTTGAAATGGTGACGAGTAATCGATAGCTGCATGATAAATCACGTTTTACGTGTATTATTCAAGTCCTCCGCCGAATCGGTCACCCACCAATGTTAGGTGGTTCACTAAACGCTAACTAGCTTGCAGCAGGGCATTCGGTTGCCACGCCTCTCCGTGCTTGCCCAATAGCCGCTAACGACGTTTCTCCGTTCTCTCTGAGTTAGCGTCACACGCTAATCAAGTTTGAACGCCAAGACGCCGTTGTGTTTTTTCGGCAGCGGGCAAGCTAGACGGCAAAATGCTTATTTTTTTTGCGGCTGAAATGTGAAAAGAGAAAAGTCGTTTGCCAAAACCGTCCGTAGCGGTGCAGAATATTTGTCACATCATGACCGAGACGAAGCCTCAAACTCGGAACGTTTTTTTTTTTTTTTTTTTTCGTCTGTTAACCACTGGAAAGCTACGCTAACGAGCAACTTGATGTCACGATTGAAGAGCGCATTTGAATGAAATAAAATGTCAACATCTTCAACAGTTTTTCATGACTTTGTCCTAATGACTTGATTATTTTCTTTTTCTCTTCATTTGACTTTTCGAACATTTGTCTTTATTTTTTGCCAATGATGAACTTTTTCATATTTTGTAACTTTTCTGTGGAATGACATTGACCTGTGATGAAAAATAAAGAATGTATCCTCATGACTTGATTTGAACACATTTGAACGTCTAATGTTTGTATTTCCCTTTTGGCCTTTCGACACTTTGCCGAGGACGTCCCGCCACGAGTGCTCGCGCGGCTAGCCCGCTAATTGCTAACACGACCCCCGTCCGTCGGTTTTATCAAGCGACGACCAAGCATCGTCGCATCCTTTTTTTTTTTTTCTTTTTTTTCTAAACATTTACACTTGTTGACGAAACAATGCAATGCGATGACATCACCGGTTAAGAGCTGTCAGCGAAAGGTTGACGATGGCACCGCTCACACCGAACAATGTCACCTTTCACTTTTAACGTAATTGATGATGTCATCATGATGTTTTGCTTCTTGAGCTGCTTTTACCGTTGTTGTTTTCTTTCACTGTTTTTAACTCGCCAGGGACGTGGCAGCGTTATCAGTAAAAAAAAAAAAAAAACAAAAACGAGATAACTTCCTGGGTTTCATGAAAAGCCGTTAACGACACAACTCAATGATGCTTCCTTTTGAAAGTGACGGATGGATGACGCCATCGTGATGTTTTGCTTCTTGAACGGCTTTTCAATGACCTGACGCCATTGTTGCCTTTCGCGCTAACTTTACGAATATTTTTTTTTTGTTTTGTGATTCATTTTTTTCCGGATGAAAAACGAGGGCCACGCGCAACCGTCTCCATCCCGCTGCTAATGTCTGCGTATGGAAAGTCCGCCTTTTGGCGTTTTGGTGCTCTCACTTTGTGTTGAGTAAGCGGGCGGCGGCAGATAATGGCCAAGATGATGATGATGTTGGCGTTGTTGTTGTGACCTTGTTCGGTTTGTTTATCATATCAGCTGATGTAGCACAAACCTCCTTACAGACCCCCCCCCTACTCCCTCCCCAATGATCAAGAGCCCCCAGCAGCTGATAAGAAACAACACAGAAAACTTTAATTATTTCTGCTCTGTCACTGGGGGGGGACCCCCCTAACCACTTCCCATGCACCCCTCCCAACCACACACACACACACACATACACTGTACCCCCCGCACTCCTCCCGCCTGCCCCTTCCCCACTCGATCCACATCTGACACAGGCTAAAAAAGAAAAAGGGGGGAGACAAATCTCAGAAGACCACCACGATGAAATTGGACCAGTTTGTCATGCACGACGCTGATACACCGGTCCAACATCAACTCTTTAATTGGCTTTTTTTTTGGTGGGGGGGGGGGGTTGGCTTTTTAACTTTCCCTCTCTTGAAGACTACCTGAGATTTTGTGGCGCACTGTCCTGGTCTTGTATGTCCTTCAGTTCCAAAGACAAATTTTGAATTGAATTGTCCGAGTTGTCAGGAATCTTCTTCGCTTTACGGCAAGGGTGCCCAAGTCCGGTCCCGAAGAGCCCCCCATCCTGCCCCGATTCGAAATGATCCGCTGACATCTAAAACAGGCCCGGTAGGGGCTTTAAATGGCCTTTGGGTCCTCGAGTACTAAGATGAGGTCTTTGGCCACTTCCTGTGCCAGTCTCATGACTGCTTCAGGTTCGGTGTCTTCAAGCGTCCTTCGGTAACCGATCGTACTTCAGGGTTCCTCCAGGTTCTGAAGTATTCGTGTCTTCGGTCTTTAAGTCGACTTCAAGTTCGAAGGTCCTCAAGTGTGCTTTGGGTTCTAGGTCTTGATTTGAAGGTCTTTCTGGGTCATCCACGTTCTAAGGTTCTCAGAGTCCTTGGGGCTCCAAGGTCCACGTTTTTCAGCGGTCTGGGGGTTGAAATTGTAGCTCCCTCTTTGGCTTATTTTTGTTTTGCTTGGGGTCTGGGCACAGGATGTCATCATCAGGCTCCAAGGTCTTACAAGGTTCAAGATGCTGGTCTTTCGGCGTCGCACGGGTTCCGAAGTACCGTTCTGAGGTCGCAAGTTTCGGTGTACTTGTGTGTAGCTGCGCTGAGGTGCGAGTCTTCGAATTGAGTCCCTCTGGCTCTCGGGTCTTTGAGTTTCCTCGAGGAGACTTTGGTTTTTTTTCTGCCAGACCAGTCTTTCAGTGCCCTTGAGGTTCTGAAGTACTCGTCTTTATTTTGACTTGGGGCTGGAAGTTATTGAAGGCTTCTGCGTTGTGAACGAGTGCTTGAGTTTTTGCTGTAAGGGTCCTCGGGTCCAAAGGTCCTCAAGTGTACTTGAGCTTCGAGTCTCACAACCTTCACGTCGCAACGTTCCTCAAGGCCTTCTTCGCCTTTCAGGGTACTTTGGCTTCCAAATTTCTCGTCTGGCAACTTTCTCGGTTTTAGCTCGCCTCCGGGTTTCGAAGCTTTTTGTCCCAAAGTGCGCTCGCTTCCGAAAGGATCCGCTCGATCCCGAAAGAACAACAAGTGTGTGCAGGGGACAGGAAACGTTGGCACCCAAACACCACAAGTCACCGCTGTCGTGCCGAGCAAATTTCCCTGAAAAGTGGGAGGGAGGCGGCGAGATAAGGCCCGGCCGGCCAATAACAACAATCATCCCTTTGGTGTGACTTATCTCCTCCTCATGAAAGCGATGCTCTCATTCCTCCCCAAGTGAGGGATTCTTTTTTCCACTTCTTCTATTTTTACTTCCTTGTCCTACGCCGTGCCGCCGAACGACTTCCTGGCTCGCGACTCGGCGCTCACGGCTCGGATGTCGCCGTTCAAGATAAAACCGACCAATAAGTCAAAGATGAATGGAAATCAAAATAAAATGCTGAAAACGCCATATCGATCGGCCCCAAATAAAAAGTCACACCAAAAGGTTCGCCTTGATGCTGATGCCGCTAAAATGGCCGTCATTGTCAGCGAAGATGTCGTTCCAACCTCGGTTGTTTTTTTTTTTTTTTTTTTTGGTAATCTCTTAAAACAACATTGATTGTCTCCGCAACGACTTCCTGTCGCCGCGTTAACGATTATGCAAAGTGGCCGCAACCTTTCCGTTTGACGGGCGGCTCCCTCCCCGGCGGACCGAGGCCAAGTGACACGGCGACGGGGTGCGCGCCGACCCCCCACCTCCCCCTGCGACAGGCTCCCACATGCCGGGGTGCCTTTACGTGACGTCGGCGATGACGTAAACCCGACGTTTCGTCAGGAGTTTGAGGCTCGCAAAGGAAAAGCCGAGCCGGTTTTTCCTCCAAGCCGCTTCACCGTTGACGATTTCTCGCTCGCGGTCGCCCATCGCCGTCCGTTGACGGGCCGCGTGAGTTCCAAGTACAAAGATGGTCAAAATAGCCCCGCTTTGACCTTTTAAAGGCAAAAAAAGCCCCGAAAGCGGCTGAGACGAGACAAGACCTGCCTGGACTGAAATCGTCAAGTGGGTCGCATTGGCGTTGATGCGGGCACTCCGCTCCAAAGTCGTCCTCTCCTCTCGTCCGGTCAGAGGCCGGCGTCCGGCCGACTGGCCGTTTCATTGACGGGACTTTTTCCTTTCGACTTAGCAGCATCATTTCTCAGCTCATCTCCACTTTTATGTCCCCTGCCCGGCCGCGGCCGCGAATCGGGGGCCTCGCCTCGCCCGTCCTCTTCTCGGTCTCCTTGGCCTCGGCGAGGGCTCATAGATCAGCGCCGCTGTCGGAACGGCCATCGAGCGTGCGCATTTGCATACAGAAATCCATGGCGCCGCGCTGACACGTGCCAATAGCGCGTGCCAATCGTCGCTCGCCGTCACGGCTGATGGAGCTTTCGTGTTCTTACTTTCATCTTCGGCGCCGCGCCGTGTCGTGCCTGGAAAAACAAACCACCTGACACTCTGTCCTCTTTACTGACTTTGGCACCTTGTTGGATTTTACTCCTCTTTCAGTTCATTCTTTTTGAAACACCTTTGATGTTTGTTTGATTGATTGATTTTTTTGCTTTCTTGAAAAGTGAACCGGATGGCACCTGTCAATCATTGCAACTGTGTGCAGAAGAATGCGCGTGGAGGATTGTGTCTGCCCTGTTGGTGTGCACAAGTGTGTCGAACTCAATGTGTTAGATCTGACCAAGCGTGTGTCGGTATGTGTGGATCAAGGCGTAAAAATGCGTGTATGTGTCTGTGTACGTATTTTAAGCGTGCGTGTTACTCTGTCTGCGAAAAGAGCGTCACCGTGCATGCGCGCGTACGTGTTCAGAGGAGGCGTAAACGTTACGTTGCATTCCACCTGCCGCCGAAACGGCAAGTTTGTAGGCTAATCTTTTGCAAGATGGCGTCCCGAGTTCAGAAAACGCCAAGGCGTCGAGTCCGTTTTCTTGACATTCGTCAGCGCCGCCGAACATGCTCACCGGCATCATAGCCGCGCCACCGGCGAACATTGCGCTCACGTCGGCGCTCTCGGTGGGGAGCCGCGCGCTGGATCGCGAAGAACTCGCTGCAGAGTGTTGACGCGATGTTGTTTTTCGCATTTGTTTTGCTTCATCGCGTTCCCCCCCCCCCCTTTTTTTTTTCATTTAGCGGCAACTTTTAAGTCATTAACGCCGCGCGGGCCGTTAGCGGGAGAGGTGAACTCTGGGTAATTCCCGTCGGCGGCAGCGGCGGCGGCGATCGATGCGGGCGGACGCATTTACATTTTGATTCAAGTCATCAGGAGAAAAGGTTAAGCTGCGCCTCTTCCTGCGGAGATGTCACGCGGCATCAGGCGCACTTTGCGCCGGCCGCCGCTAGCTGACGGCTCGTCAATAAATGGCTCGCCGCCTCGCTACGCGCAAAAATGTACTTTTACGGCAGCCTGGCGTCATGGCGGACGTCGAGAGGACGCAAAGGAGAAGACGTGATTGGATGCCAACGGCGGTTGGAAAAGCGCCGTATCGCAGCAGGCAATTGTGCCGCGGAAAAAAAACGACCGAATGTCATGACAAAAACTGGATGGAAGTGATGATCCCACGTTCGTCGTTGTCGGTGATGCGTGCCGGGACGGGATCGAGCTACCCGGGGCTCCGCTCTCCAAACGTCAAGCCGGGACGGGCTTCAGGGCGGGGGGCGGCCGTGGCCTATTTTTTCAAACCAACCAGGGAAGATGAAAGCACAGACCCCAACATGGAATTCGCCGTATCGAAGAATGATGATCACACGAG